GAACGTTCACACAAAAAGATCGGATTTTTTCAATAAATCGGAACTGAGCATTAAGACCTGCAGTGTGAACTAAGTTTATAGCATCAGAACTAAGAAATAACTCAGGAAACTTAAACCTAACTATAGGATTTAGCAAGACTGAAAGTCTTCTAGTCTTAAAAGTAGACAGAGTGTCAGCCTCACAGACAGAAACTGGAAGTTTGGTTCCACAAGAGAGGACCTTGAAAACTGAAAGTTCTATCTCCCATTCTAATTTTAGAAACTTTAGGAACCACCAGTGGTGGGCACCAGTCCCCTAAAGCCCAAATGCATTAATTACAGACCTAAATTTCTTCTTTGCGCTTTAGGGGTTTTACTAATTTATTCAAATGGTGTGTGAGTTTGCCGTTTCTATACAATATTCTTTACTTATCGGGCACATTTTTCTTATTTAAAAATATGCAACAAAAAAAGTGCAGTGTTGTTTTTATGTAGTGGTGGTGTGAACGAATTAATGGCTTTTCAATTCATTTCTGTGGGGAAAACTGATGTGAAATACAAGTAATTTGATTAACGCGCCCTGTCACAAAACGAATTAAACTCGTAAGTCAAGGCACTGCTGTATTACGTATTGACAAAAGGGCGGGGAAACAATACAACAGTAAACAGTTAAGTTGAATAAAGAATGAAGTAATAACCTGTGTTCACCTTGGCCTGCTCTAAATTCTCTAAATTATCTCTTTGTGTTTATTCTTTATTCAGACATTTTTTCAGACTTTATCTAACTTTAGCTGGGAAAAATAAAGGCAGAATTTTCTAAAGTCTCAAGGAAATCTTTGAACACCCCCTCTTTTCAATCATGTCTTTAGAGATTTTTTAAGCTGATTTTAAAAGACAAAATAAGAAATACAAGCCTGCTACTTATCATCTCTGTCAGTGGGAGGCAGTCTTTAGAGTTCTTACAGACATTAGCTGCACTTAGTTAAAGCCTACAGATCTCTGCCTGAGAGTTTCACACAGAACAAAACAATCTCAAATTTGTGCTCAACAAACTGATTTGCAGCCTTGTTCAAAAAAATCTAAACTGCTGCCGGCAGTCAAGCTATAGATGCTCATTAATTCTGTTGTAGATATAATTTTGTCAAATGTTGAATTGTTCTAAGTTGTGAACACTCGATGCAGTGATAAATTCTAAAGTTATTGTCTAAAGAGGCTGATTAACACACTTTATTCACATTGACTCTATAAACTCTGGTCTTTACTGTCACTCTCTTTTCTTCAGAACCACTTACTGGGTCATAGAACATCGTTTTAGCCACAGACAGAACTAACAAGAGGGAAGCAGAATTAAAGAAAAATCATAAGGGCTAAATGTAAATAAATTCTAATTATAGTAAATTAATAATAGTTTTAAAT